GGTTAATTTTACGTATCAGGGTTAATGGTTAATTTTAGGTACTAGGGTCTGGGACAGGATGTCTAAAGTGAATACACGTAATTTCACGCTTTGGGACGGTAGTATTTGTGCATTTTCTACACTTAGAAAAATTACGACAACAGATTCCGCCCCATCCCGTCAAAATATGACGCAAGGGGGGTACCTGATGCGTCAAAATTGGACGCAAAGGGACCTTTGAAAAACGTCAATATGTGACGACTCGGGAGTGAGAATGGGTTGGATTGTCATAAGGGCAAAAATCGGCCTGATTTTCTTGTAGTGTGACGCCATCCTTACGTGCACTACTGTTAGGATCACGTTTCCTTTCACAATTGACTGATCTCTCTATCCATCCTCATTGTCTATCAATGTTTTGTGTAAAAAGTTTCTAGTATCCGTAGCTTAATTTGTTGCACCTCTTTTCTCTTCTTTGTCTATTTTGATCTGAGACAAAAACAGTTGCAGACAGAAAAGCTCGAGCCCTTTTGTCCGATAAAAATCCAACATTAGATGATTAATCCAGTTTAAAGTCCAACTCCTCCTTCACTGTTCATTTCTCACTCTTCCTGCTCATCTAACCCGAGCATTACCTCATCAGAGGAGGCTCTGCCTAAAGCCACAGCAATCTCAGAACAGACAAAAGCGCTCATCTTCAGGAAGCCGCTGCCGCTGCTTGTGGTTTTGGCGAGAAGAGAAAAGGAGAGGAGCAGGGGAAAATGTGACTCAAGCCCACAGCTTCTTTCTTCTCTCTGCCGACTTCAGGATAAACGCAGGGATGAAGCGCAGAGGGAGGTGATATTTACAGCAGACCCCGTTTCAAGGGCAATAGAGGAGAGAAAGTGGGGCATGAGCTTGGGAGGTTTGGGAAGAAGCCACAAGGGTTGGTCTGTGCTGTTACTGGCAGAGGAGCTTGCACCGTGGACTTATGTGTAAGTGGGGGGAACTGCTGCTGCCTTGGCCCAGCCTTAAAACTGGGGTGGCTGCAGCTCCACGAGCCTCTGAAGGAAACCAGATGGGCCTCAGATGGGATGCTGATGAGGCATGAGTGAGCAGAAAACACAAGCAAGCATGTAGAGACAAACACAAATAAGCCGATACAGACGCAGCCTGACAAACCACTAAATGCAAAATCAAAAACATATAATCTGTTTAATCTCCACAGCACGTGAATGAATGGGTTGTTGTTTTTTCTCCGATATTTTAAATGTTTCAGACCAACAATTATATACTGTAAGTTAACAAACCCTAACTAGCTAGGCTCGAGAAAACACAATAAATCATCTTAAACATGAAGCTCACTGAGAAACACTTTGATATTTGGTCAATTATAGTGACGTTCGAGTCGAAAGAGGCAAAAAAATAAATAAATAAAGGAAGGAAAATGTTTTTAGGGAAAGCAAAGAGTTCATTAGATCAATAGTTTTACACACATCATCTCAACAACTGGGTGTTTTCTGTTTGTTTTTCTAACCTCTCATAAATGACTGCCATAACAGCAGGCATGTACAACACAGGAAAAAAAACCTTAGGCCCAATCCACACTGTTTTAGATATTAAAATTTTAATTTTCTGCTGTTTGTAGCGCTGGTTCAAATGCAAACTAATATTTTTATAAACCATTTTTAAAAAGGAAAAAGTCTGTTTTTGGTGCCTTTTATGTAGAGAAGAAATACAGAACTTTGAGAAACAATGAACACAAAGAAATTAAAAATATTTAGCAGACACTCATGATCACTTTGGATCACTTTATGTCCCAGAAACTAAAACAACAACGAAGCTGTTTTCACTGCTTTTACCACGGGTGTCTTGCTTCATTCTGCATTTGCTGTCAAGAATATTTCAGCTGAGAATGTTTTTATCTGCATTTTGATCTGTTCTTAATGTGTTTCTTTTCTTTTCTGACAGAAATATTTAGAACTTTTTTTAGTTTTGAATGTAATCAGCACAAAATGCTGTTAGTGCATGTTGCCAGTTTCAGATTTGATCAGATTGATCTTCGTCCACCATTAAACAGAGGTGGAGGCCTTTGTGTCCAGTTGTCCTCCTCCTACAACGCTGTTATTGCAAGTATTACTCAGCCCCCTGTGAGCAAATGTGTGAATCAGGGCCCCAATAATGACCAACACAAAGAGGGAAAGAAGGACAAAAACAAGGGGACGTTGAACCCCACTTACACTCAATACATACACAACAAAACACCAAATAACCACAGCAGCATCCAAACCAATAAGTCAGGTGATGGGGCACATGACCCTCTATGAACAATAGAGCTAATCAAGCCTATTATTAGGCTGATGGCCCTCTTTTGCATGTGACTAACCTGTTTGTCCACCATGTGGAGGCAGAGTTTATAAGGCTGAGTTCACCTGAAACTCATCAGACTGAAGAAGTCTCTTGGATGAGAGACGAAACGTTTTACTAAAGAAGAACCCATCCAGAGGACCTACTTCTTTTTTTCCTTTTCGATTTTTTTCTACCTGGATTACTGAGATGCATCAGGACAAGATTTGATCGTGTTTTCCTAATCTAAAGCCAAATTAAGACTCTCACTCTGTACACCTTGGAGATGACCAACATGTAATGCTCTGTCAGATTCAATGATTGTCTAAATCAACAGACAGGCCACCATGCAGTGCCCTGAAAACAGTTTCCGGAGACAGAAAAGCAGTAAATGGTTTCTGTCACAAAAGCAGGAAGATTGTAACTCTGTTAGAATAATCCACTTATTCTCTCATTGTGACTGGATACAACAATAAGATTTAGAGTTTCTGAAATATTTAAGGAAGTTAAATAAAAAAATCAAAAGTGGATTGTCCCCTGGACAACTGTTCATTTCATTTCTCTTAAACAAAAGGCACAAACACAGACTTGTGGTTTTCTGTAACATAGAGCACTTGATCACCAAGCTAAAAAATCAGCTGATGGGAGCACCAACTCATCCCTGACGGTCACAATCCAGTGAGATATCACCTTAAGATGTGGTCTTAGCACCAGGGGATCTACAGCTCTGGATTGTGATACGAGAAAACGAACATGAAACCTGAACCCTCAGATATGGGAAAGCATGCTCCCCTGCAGACCAGATGAACGCTGCGCATCTCTCTAAACAAAGATCCTCCAAGCCCGCTGAGAGTGAAACACTGGCAAGAATCAAACAAGCCACTTGTTGACCCAGCAGTGACACGACTCAAGGGCCACCAGAGAGTGCCTTAATAAGTATTCTTAAACAGGGGGGGATTAGCCAGATGGTCAGATCACTCTTTTTTTCCAACCTCTCCCATCTGTACATTTCCAGTGTTTCCCCCCCTCCTCGGTCTCTGCTGAAACCATTGAGACTGGCCGATGAGACCTCGGCAGCGTAATTCAGGCTACTGTTACCTACAGCACTATTTGACTCCAGATATAATCTTTATTGGTCACAGAGAGAAAGTCCATTAAAAGGCATACTGTAGGTCCCGGTGCTGAAAAGCTCCTGGAGTGATGCCTGCGAAAGCCTTTAAAAGACCCCTTTCTTCACATCAAGTGAAAGCAGCTATTGAGGGTGCACCGGGCAGAACAGCAGAGTGGAGGTCCGCATTTACTGAGACAAATCTAAAGCATTTTGGATGTGCCAATGGAGGGGTAAAAGATAGCGGACATACACTGCGGCAGATAAAAAAAATCAGACGTTATGTAAAATTAATGGTGCAAATCGTGTTCCGACACCAGCGAGAGCAGCTGGTAGAAAAGCTGGTTTGAAACAATGCTTGGAAAGATTTCTGCTTGTCTTTTAATGGGAACAATTATCCAAAGTGGCAAACAGTGGCACAGAACCTGGCAGGAATACAGTCAACCCATTCTCACTCCCAAGTCGTCACACATTGACTCTCTTCCAAGGTTCCCTCTGCGTCCGATTTTGATGCGTCGGGTACCCACCTCGAGCCAGTTATTGACGAGATAGAGTGTAATCTGTTGTCATAATTTCAGAATGTGTAGAAAATGCACAAAAACTAACCGTCCCAAAGCCTAAAATTACCTTTATTCACTCTAGACATCCTGTCCCTGACCCTAGTACCTAAAATTAACCATTTTTAGAAATTGTAGGAAATTCACGTGAACTACATGTTCCAAAGCATAAAATTACATAATATTCACCCAAGACATCCTATCCCTGACCCCACTACCTAAAATTAACCATTAAGCTTGATCCCTAATATTAACCATGGACTCCAAGTCAAAGACCCCTACACTTTGCATCCCAACGCGTCAAAACCGTACACCGAGGGAACACGGAAATTCCTGGTGCATCAAAAACTGACGCGACAGGTGTACCCGACTCATTAAATAAGACACAGAGGAAACCTTGGAAAAGCGTCAATATGTAACGTGTCGGTAGTGAGAATGTGTTAGTCCAAGAAAACACTCGTCATAAGTATTAGTGAGAGGAAACTTACAGATTTAAGAGACTTCAGCTCCAAAAGCCTCTTCTCACTCGTGAAGTGCTTTAAAATTCATGAAAGTTGTCTGGAAAAGAGGAAACAAAACAGGAAGTGGTATTTTTGTTATTGTTGTTCGGTGAACCCATAAAGAAATAAATTGTTCAAAAGTTCAGTTAAACGATGCAGAAATACATCATCATCAGAACACCGATTAATTACTGTACGTTCCTGCTGACAGAGTGAGCTTTGACAAAGTCTGAGATGTTTTAAAATGGAAACGGTTCGTGTCGTGATAGTGGTCCCGGCCCACCTGAGAGAACTTCTCTGTGTCCAGTGTTTGAGACAGAACAGAGGTCCTGTGTGAAGTCTGCAGCCGAGCAAAACAGAGGATCAGTGTGTTTCCCCTCACGGTCCGGGTCATTCACACACTCACATACCACGCAAAGCCTAACAAACAAACAAGATCTTTTTTTTTTTTTGCGTTCAGCTTTGAAGATCAAAATCCTGTCACGATCCCTCATATTCCTGTAAATTCTGGTTATATCCGTCGTTTTCTTCAGCCTGACCTTAGCAGAACACCGGGACTCTGAGAGCTGACCCGGGGTCAGCTTTAATACGGCCTCGCACCAACTACAAACAAAGGCAGAGGTCACAGAAAACAGATCGTAACATCAAAGAGGTCAAACAGAACCCTTTGAAGGGTCCGAGGTCAGGGCAGGACTGCCTCAGTGAGGAGACAGAGAGCCCCACATTGGTGGATGATGGCAGATAGTCCTAATTAAGAGTGGGCGGTTGCTAATTCAGGATGGAGACAAACTTCATGAGAGTCTGTACCTCCACAAACAGACTGCAGCGGCATTCAACATCACCAGTGCAACTTCCAAGTTGTATGAAAACGGGAATACAAACAAGCCTTTGATTCTACAATTTGAGGCTAATTGAGAACAATGAAGGAAAAAAAGCTAACACTAAGAGCGTGTATGATCTTTTATTCATGTCTGTAATCAACCAAATGATTTTTTCTTTTCTGGATGAATTTTTTTTTTCTCTCAGGGCACCATTAAAGACGATTCTAACCACAGCAACTCAAAGACTTCAGCACAAAGAAGCTCTGATAATAACGATGAATAAACTGCATCATAAAAGAATGTATATATTTTAGTGTATTTTGTCTGCAAACACAACTAGAAAACTTTTTTTTGCCTTGTTGAAGAGATTTACAAGTCCACATTTTGCAGCTCATTGACTTTGAGATGAATTTGCCTGATGTTTGTTCACACTCTGCAGCTCTCGATGACCCGTCTGAACACGTTCCAGATGTCTGCCGAACCGGTTCTTGTTTTTTTGAAGCTCCCAGTCCCCCCCATACACACCTCCCGTTTCACACACCCTGCTGCTCATCTGCAGATGACAGGTCCAACACCTGGAGGATGATGGGTAATCAGAAAGACAGCTGGATACCCAGGAGTGGAGACCCTAAAACCCCTGCTAACTAACACACACACATTCAGAAAGAGCTTGGTGTGTGTGACAGGATGCACTTGTTCAAATTTGCATGTAATCTTGAAAAACGAAGAGCTTCAGTTAAAGGCCTAGCATTGCTTAAAGGAATGCTGGCTTTTATGCTATGTTTTTAGGCTACAGCTGCGTTTACACTGCAGGTCTTAATGCTCACTTCTGATTTTTTGCAAAAAATCTGATATATTGGTGTGAACATTCACATTATATTTTAATACGACCTCCATCAGACTCCATTGTGAACTTTACACTCTCACTATGTGTTTACAGAATTAGCTTAGCATGGATGCTACACGTTAGCATTTTGATTCCGATTTTTGTGCAAACAGAGCAAATTATCTGAAATTCTTGTTTATTTCACTGTTTGCATTTTAATCTGCCTATGGTCAACTGCATGTATTTTTGAAACAAAGGCAATCTGTTAAAACTAAAATATCGATCCGGTAAGTATCGATACAGTCCGCAACTAACGTTATCACATATTTCTGTGGATTTGCAGTCATCCAGGACATGGAAAATCAGAATCTCCATGACTATCACAGCTATTTTTATGTCAATATCTATAAAACTGACTAACTTGCAGCCATTTTTGTTTTGGCTAATGTAGCAGCTTTCTTGAATGGGCTCACCTCCAAAAGTTTTTTAATTTTAGATACTTTCAGCATTTACTATCTGAAAGTCTCATTAAAATACAGTGGATCGTTTAATATTTTGCTAACAGAAAACCTGAGTTGCCTCCTGGAGTTAATGCTAAAGCTTTAGGCAAATATCTTTTACAATAAGTAGCACTTGGAATTTGTGTTGTGGATCAGTCTCAGCTACTACCACACCAATTTTGTGCACAATATCTTTAAAGCCGACCAAATAACAACAAATTTGTGTTTTCTAAAATTAGTTGACTGTGATCGTCAGCTTGAATGGAGTTGGCTCCAAAAGTTAATCACTTGTAGAAGTATATTCATTTATTATTTCCTGCAAGTTTCATCCAAATCTACCCTGTGGTTCATGAGATATTTTGCTAACAGACAAACACATGAATACACATATTGTCTTTCAGTGCAGTCTCTGTGTTCTGGAGCCTCAAACCGGGTTGGGCTAAAGGGCGGGAGGTAATAGAGCCATTCTGTGCTCCTCCTGACAACTGGGGGAAGCAGCTACCTTTTTGGCCCGCCGTCCAGCAGCTGTGAAACACTACGTGTTCCAGCTGCAGCGGCTCAGAGCAGAAACTTGCAGAAACTAAAAGGCCAGATACTTGTCTGAAGACAAACACTCATGTGTCACCTTAGCATTAGAGATAGTGAAGAATGACGCGAACAGATAAACAGTATTATGCTCCCAGCAGGGTTTGAGCCGACACAATGAACGTACACACTGACACAACAAAATATGCACAGCCCCAAATGCCATCTTGTTGCAGCTGTCAGGGCCACTTGTGCGGACGCAGACACTTCGGCGTTAGAACAATGGATCTCTATCAGACAGAGGATATCTGAAGAAGCTCAGAGCCACATGGGGCCCCCTGCTCCATCTTCCAGGGTTTCACATCAGCCAATGGGCAATTAAACTAAAAGAAGGTCACTTGACCCATAAATGATGAGCTCATAGCAACAGGCCGACCATCAGAGGACCGCTGCTCATGTTCAACCACATCTGTGATCAGGTCTTTTGTTTTCTCTTAGGGAGAAACTTGCCCTCCCATAAACTCCAAGTCCTTAATTCATCACATTTCGCCCCATGAAACTTGTTTATTTAGAGGTTCTAAAGGCTTTGGTTTACTTTGGTCTTTTCTAATGTTAGATGATGAGACATTACTTAATTTGGATTTTACTGGAATATTTTCATATCTGCTGTTTTTTTAAGTCATATCCTAAGTCCTATCCTGAATCCCAAAGGTTGTACCTCACTGACCTGCAACCGCTGATGAAATAGTTAGTGACTCAGACTTTTGGGGAAATGGTGAGAAAGTTGGTGAATTTTTGTTTTGTCAGAGAAGGGCTTCCATACAAAAGTCAAAACACAAGATGGGTCGGAGACACCCATGGGGACTTTGTGATTCTTTTGAGATAAAGGTTAAAAAGACAAGAAACAAAACCTAATACCATCAAAATATTCTATTTTAAGCCTACGCAGCCCTAATAAGATTTGCTTTAGTCAATTTCTTTTAACTAACTCTCCACCCCTACTTCTCACAGCTATGTCTGGAGGACAAAGTCAGCCGTGACGTCCCATAAAACATTTTGGATTTAAAAGAGCAGTTTGGCAATTTTACGTGGAAAAGTTTTGACCAGATATACGAGCTGTCGCCAGCTCTTTGAACAAGCTCAGTTTGGAGGTTTTACTCTGTTGATTGTCAGATTGTTCCTTTTGGCCACTAAATGACTGGAACAATATTTCCTGATTAGATCAGACGCAGTTTAAATTGGTTATTTTCAAAGTTGGGATTTGGACCCCACTATGGGCCATCAAACACTGAGTTTAACAAGAAGGTTTAGGAAGAGAAGATTACCAGTGGCATTTGTAGCTCTAACTGTTACAACAAGATAAAAACACAACTGATTTAAAACATATCTTTTCAATATTTACTGTATATAATGATGTTAAAGTGCCTTTTAGCAAAGTATTCACCCAATCGTTGGAGTCATGAGTCTGTGGGACTTTTTTGTGGGTTGGAAACTGAAAACTTTAAGAAGCAGAAGGTTGGGCAAACTACAATGGATCACTTTCAAAACCCAGAACAAGTGAAGGTGGTGTTTGCATGAATGAAACACTTTTAACTCCCCCTCAGAAACAGCCTGTTTAATAAGTCTGGTCTTCAGTTGCCGCAGGCAGGAAATATTGTTCAAGTGGGAGAGGGGCAAGTGGCAGCACATACATCTGAACCTCAGTGCTCTGCTCACTGGCTATCCTTAAGAGATTACATTGTGCTGCTCACCATTGTCCAACTCCTTCCAGACAAAGCCTGCTCCGCTGTGCAAACAGTGCGCCTCGGAAAGATTGTAAAAACAAGAGGTGAACGTCAAAGACAAAAGTGAATAGGATCTCTGCCTTCTTTGTCGAGCCGGGGAGGTATGCACAAACACATCGCTGCGTGACAGAGAAGAAAGGAAGGCCTTGTGAGGAAAAGGAGTCGCAAAAAGTTGGAGTGTCTTTGCATGAAAAGGCAAATACCGTGAGAAGTTGTCTGCCTGACTCCTGGGTCTATACAAAAGCCCCTCCCTCCACAAGGGTTTCAATTAAAGACCCCCCGGGAGCACAAAGAAAACAAAACACGAGGAACGGTGGAAATGATGAACGTTAAGGACGCAACACAGCACTGAGGGCCAAAAAAAAAAAAAGAGCTAAAACAAAACGAAGGTACCAATGAACATTTTCATTCCGATTCAGCAAATGTAAATCAGAAGCACAAAGAGCAGCCAGCTCGCTCTGAGCCTAGAGTCAACCTGGACTGGACCCGAACAAGGCTCAAACTGTCAGGGGCGATTAATAAGGCGACCTCAGCCCCCCCACCTCTAATTTACAAGGCCAGCTCCAGCCTGTAATTAATTGCTGCGTGCATAAATGTAAATG